GCAGGGCGGGTGTGGGGGGCCGGCCTGTGCGGACACGTGGCAGTGGAGGACGCAGTTGGGAGGCAGGTGAAGGCTGCCCAGGGTCTGGGTGTCGTCTCCCAGCAGCTGTCCTTGGTAGATGAGTCGAACCTGCTGCTCCCGGCCAGGGAACTGGGTCCTGAGGAGAGAGGGACCTGGGTAATAGAGCAATCCTCGTCCCTGGCCCAGAATAATACTCCCGCCCCTCACCTTTGCCTCCACACCCCACCACCCAGGTCACGGCGCCCAGGGGGGTCCTCCCCTCCTCCACGGGGAACAGGACAGTGATTTGGGCATCTGGGTCCCCTCATCTATGAGATGCGGGGGGTCTCCAGTGTCTCCTGGTCCTTCCAGGTCTACAATCACTCCCACCCACTCACTCCCACCCCCTCACTCCCACCCACTCACTCCCACCCAGTCCTTGGCGTTTGTTCCCTTCCTCACCCCAGCTTACCTTTTCAGGGAGCCGATGGTGTCGTGGGGCCAGGCCCTGGCCACCTGCTCTGAATCGTTGAGGAATTTCAGCCGAAGCACGAGAGGCTCCTGGGGGGAGTCTGGCGGCGGTGTGGTTGCCTGGAGTCCTGTGCCAGGCTCTGGGTGTGCAGCCTGACCTCTGTGTCTCAGGCTGGGGGTCTCGGCTCCCGGGGCCTCCGCTCTGGCACTGTCGGTGACCACCATGGCTTCGCTGGGCTGCGCTGGTGTTGGAGTCCCTGATGGCTGGGCCAGTGGGTCACCGCTCTCCGATGTGTGTGTTGAGACCCAGGCGAGAGCCAGCACCAGCAGGCAGGCAAGCACCGCGAAAAGGACAGTCACCTCATCACCCACCCCTTCAATCAGGGCCATGGCACCCGCCTTGCCCGCCGCGCTACTGAGCTGGAGAGGCACAAAGAACCCATAAGGGGTTGAGGGGCTGGCCCACCGGGCCAACAGCTCTCCAAACGTCAACAGGCTCCTGGCCCCCCGCACCCCACTTTCCCACCGGCCTCACTCTGTCCCCTCACACCAGCCCCAGCCCAGGGCATAGACTGTTTGGACTCCCAGTTGCCCGAAACTTGCTTCACGTGCCCCTTCCCATCACCACATTCCAAGTCCTAACTTTTGTAACCTGAGTTCTCGGTGTTTAACCAACTCCCAAATCCACCCAAACACCATCCAGAAACAAGGTGCCTGGACCTTCGGGGCAACCTCTCCCCTAACTTCATCCCCCACCAACTTCGCCCTAATCTTACCTATTCTTCCATCTGTTTCAACATTTATTCCTTCACCAGTTTCACCCAAAGCTGCTTATCTACCCCAAAGCTTAGCTCCTGCTCCGTGGCTAAAGTTTGTTCAAAGGGGAAGAAAAAGGGCCTCTCTGCCGCCGCCCTCTTACCATTTACCCAAACCCCACCCACCCACGCGGACGGCTTCCCCGGGGCTCCCAACACCAAAAGTCAGACTCCGCCCTTCGGCATCGGGAGCCTCCCCAGGGTGCCACCCCTCACCCAACCCGGCCCCACCCTGCGGCGGCACGACTCCGCGCCTCCTCGGGAAGCCTCT